AGAGAGAGAGAGAGAGAGAGAGCAAGCTGGGAAGGGGCAGAGAGCGAGGGAGATATAAATCCCAAGCAGGCTCCGCACTGTCAGTACAGAGCCCAATGCAGGGCTAGAACTCATGAACCATGAGAATGTGACCTGAACTGAAACCAAGAGTTGGACGCTCAACTGACTGAGCCACCCAGGTGCTCCTAAAGATCAAAAACCAGAGATGGTATTTGAAAATTTTATGAATTATAGAGAATTGTAGGTCATATCCTCCCCTGTCTACAAAACCAATTGTAAAACCCAAAGGGAGAGTCAGTAGTACTGATCTTCTAAAAAACACAACTTGGCACCTGATGGGGCCGCCACCAACAACCTGTACATATTCTAGGACAAAATCAACTGAGGAAGCTAGTGTGAGTACCGGGCCTGGTTGTTTTCTCAGAGAAAGGATGTTGTCCTCCTCTCCCTGAGGAGCAGTGATGCACTTCCCACTTCCCTTCACAGACTGGAGGGGCTGGCCTTCTGCCTTCTGTGAAGTGAGTCACATATTGTTGCTCAAGCCAAAAACCCACTCAAAGCAGAATTGGTGGACAGTGCTCAATAAAGGCCATTACTCAAAAATAGATTAAAAAAAAAGAAGCCAGCTTGAAGGGGCTCCCAATGGCCAGACCTTGGATAATTTGAACACTGAAATGAGCAATGACAGGAATAGAGCATGGCAAATTGAATAAAATAAGAATCAATGAATCTATGCTGACACTAATACTACAAAATAAAAGGGGATAAAGGGAAGCTCTTTTTAAAATTTCATTAAATTTTTTTTTGAGAGAGTGAGAGAGTGTGTGCATACATGTATGAGCAAAAGAGGGGCAGAAGGATAGCGAGAGAACTAAGCATGTAGCCTGACACGGGGCTCGATCCCATGACTCTGGGATTATGACCTGAGCCAAAATCAAGAGTTGGCTGCTTAACCTACTGAGTCATCCAGGCACCCCAGAAAGCTATTTTTTTAAACAGAAGGATTCTAATTAATATGCACAGAATGATAGAAACACAGACTTATCACTTTAAAACCCCAGTAATGACTAATTCAGCAGTGGAAGATAAGACGGGTTAAAGACTGTCATAGAAAGGATAGGGAGAAACTTAGCAAGATACTGCTTTAACCAAATTGAAAGACATTCTGCAATATAACTGACCTTCCTTCTTCAAAACTGTGTTGAAACTGTCACAAAAGATCCACAAAAGGCTGGGGAATTATTCTAGACTAAAAGACATCAAGGAGATATAATAACTAAATGCTAATATGTGATCTTTGATTGGGTCCTAGAGTGGGAAAAAAGCTATGGGAAAAAACATTATTAGGATAATTGGGTAATTTTGAATATGGACTCTATATTAGATAATAGTACTGTATCAATATTAAATTTTTTGAGTGTGATGATTATATCTCAGCTATGTGTGAGAATACTCTTGTTCTTATAAGACAAAATGAAATATTTAGGGTTGAAGAGTTGTGATGTCTTTGGCTAACTCTAATACTTCAGCAAGTATGTGTGTGTGTGTGTGTGTGTGTGTGTGTATGCACACACATATGTATGTGTGAGAGAGGGAGGAGGATATGGAAGAAGAGAAGAAGGGAGGGAGGAGCTAGAGGAGGGGAAGAGGAGGGAGAGAGTGTGTATGAATGAGACATATGTTAACAGGGAATCCTGAGGAAGGGTATATGGTGTTCAATAGTATTCTTATACATTTCTATAAGCATGAAAGTTTTCAAACTAAAAACTTAGGGAAAAGAAAAAAAGAAAAGCATCCATAATTAAACAGTTCAGTAACTTTTTTTGCTTTTCAAAGAATAAGTTTTCTGGTCCACTGAATTAATGAGGTTTGGGCAAATTTCCAACCCTTCTCTATAACATTAGACTCTTTGATTCGATCTATCAAAAATAAGTTCCTCTAAATAGGATGGGACTATATTGTTAAACACACAGAGAAATGCATCACAAGTCTACCATAACTATAGCCAGCTTCCAAATTTCATTTCATTTCACTAAAGAGTGCGCAGAGGTCACTTACCTTGCTCCACCAAAATAGCCATCCTGCATTTTTTGGAGTGCTGCTAGGATACTTGAATTCAAGCTGGTTCCATCTTCATCTTGAAATGAAGAGAATTTTAAAACAATCTTAGTTTTAAAAAATCTTAGAATTTTAAAACAATCAAAGTGTTCACTTTGAAATAAGGGGTCTCTTTCAATTATTTCAAACCAACATTCTGGTGGTAATGGTACAAATGAGACAATCCTGTCTACCCTGTATTTCAACAATTGATCTGACAGTGAACAACACTGTAGAATAGGCAAGTGGTAAGGGATGATTACCAATAGAGTTTCTCAAAGACAGTACCTTATTTATCATAAGCACTTAGCACAGTGCCTGATGGCAGACTACTTAATGGATACTGAAAACTGACAATAAAAACAGCAACCATTTGTTTAATGTTATGTGCCATGCACTGTGCTAAAATATTTTATATATTATCTCATGTAAGGAGCCTTAGCTTGTGTGTGTGTGTGTGTGTGTGTGTGTGTGTGTGTGTGTGTGTGTAGGCACAGAAAATAAAGAAGGCTAATAATTATCCGACTTTATGTGAAGGGGATCGATCATACTACACATACTCTTTTGTGATCTACTTTTTCTAACTTATCCCTTGTAAAAGCTATATAAGATTCCATAGCAGACATTTAAACTGTTTTTTAATTATAAGCAACACTGTGATGATCTTTGTACCTACATCTTTATGCTCTTATTCTGTGATTTCCTTAGGATTAATTCTAATAAGTAAAACTGTTAGGACAAAGGGAATACTTGCTAATAGACTGTCAAATTGTCCACTAAAAAGGTTGTACCAGTTATATTTACACCATCAGTATAGAAAGCGACTGTTTCCCCACATCTTTAATAATCATCTTTTTAATCTTTGCTTATCTGCTACTTTAAAGAAACAGTTTTATTACTAGTAATATTGGGCATGTTTTCATGTATATACTGGTTATTTGTATTTCTTTTATGATTTGCCTGTTCATGCCCTTTTTCCATGTTTCTATTAAGTAGTTTATCTTTTTGTTAATTGACTTTCAAGGGGTCTTTATGTTTCATGAGTATTACCCTTTATCATATGTATGAAAAATATGTTACCTACTTTGTTATTTGTCTTTCAACCTCAAACACAGTTCATTTTTATATAAAAGATTTGTTTAAATTTTCATGTTTTTGAATTTGCCAATTTTTCCTTTTCTGTGTCTTGCAAAGGACAGTTTTCTTCAGCTCAAGATCACAAAAACATTCTCCCATATTTCCTTTTAATATTTTATAGGTTTATTTATTTTTGCTTAGATTTTTAATCTATTTAGAATTCAGTTTTGCATAAAATGGAAAGTAGCAGGCCTAAATAAATGATTTTCCTAGATGTATTTATTTATATTCTTTTTTCTCACGTTTTTATTTTAATTCCAGTTAGTTAGCATACAGTGTAATATTAGTTTCAGGTGTAGAATTTAGTGATTCATCACTTACATATAACACCTAGTGCTCATCACAACAAGTGCCTTCCTTAGTCCCCATCACCTGTTTAACCCATCCTCCTGCCCACCTCCCTTCTGGTAACCATAGGTTCATTCTGTATAGTTAAGAGTGTGTTTCTTGGTTTTCCTTTCTCCCTGCAACCCTGCCATGTTCATTTGTTTCTAAAATTCCACATATGCGTGAGATCATATGGTATTTGTCTTTCTCTAATTTTTCTTAGCGTAATACTCTCTAGCCCCAACCATGTCATTGCAAATGGCAAGATTTCATTCTTTTTTTTATGGATGAGTAATAGTCCATTGCATGCATGTATATACACACACACCACTTCCTTATCCATTCAGCAGCTGATGGACATTTAGGCTCTTTTCATAATTTGGCTATTGTTGATAACGTCCTTTTGCCTCTATTTGGATTGTAATCTTTATCATTATTTTAATTATGATGGATCTGTCTTCTCTTATTGTTTTTAGTTTTTAAAAAAACCTGGTTATTATTGTACATTTTCTATTCCATATGAAATTTATTTTTTTTTAGTTTATTTATCTTGAGAGAGAGTGAGCAACTGGGGGAAGGGCAGAGAGAGAGGGAGAGAAAGAAAATCCCTAGCAGACTCTGTGCTGTCAGTGCAGAGCCTGGGCTCGATCTTAGGAATCATGAGATCATGACCTGAGCTGAAATCAAGAGTCAGAGGCTCAACTCTCAATATTAACTATTTTTATCTAGCAACAGAGTATCTCTCTAGTAATTAAAGTATCTTTTTATGCTCTTCATTAGTTTTATAATTTTCTCATATGATTCTATGCATGTTTCTTATTCAGCTTATTCTTATATGATTTACTTTTCTAGAAAATTTGTTAATTTTATCTAGATTTACAAAATTAAACTTGGTATTCTTTTATAATTTTATTATTTTTATAACTATTTTTCTATTTACGTGAAGCATGGTTAAAAATCATTGGTACACTTTGGAAATTCAGTGGCACAAGATACACTACCATAGCTTGAGAGACATTACATGGCTAAAACAAAGGAAATAAGGGGGAAAAAAATCCCATTTCAAACACTGCATTATGTAATTGTACCTGCCCAAATGGACCATTTATAAATATTAGGTCAATAAACTGCTAACATCCATTAAAAGGCAGCTTTATTACTGAAATGCAAGAATTTGAAAGATTGGTATCTAAACAAGAAAAGACAAAAATGAACTGAAATGAAAACCTAGATATCACATCTAAAATCAGGGCTTTTTGTTTGGGCCTTCGTACACTTCTCTCCCTCTACCACATTCTTCTGGAGTTCCAGGCCTCATTCCTTGAGGACCCTGTACACCCACAGGTCTCATATCTCTCTGCCCAAAATGCTTAGTACATATGTTACTTCCCACCATGGAATGACTCACGGTTGCTGGTGGAACTCCAGAATTAGCTTCATAACCTATGCCACCACCACCACCTAGAGGTAGAAATTTCTGGCCTCCTAAACCATAGGGCTCTGCCATGTTCTTTGCCCCTCTACCATCCATTCTTATGTCTCTTTCTCTTGGATCCCTCTACCCATCTGCTATAACTTTACTCTCTTTGTTGTCTCATTTATTCTTCCATCTCACGTTGACCAGTCTTTATCTCTTTTCCCTTCTACATTATTCTCTGTTGCCTTACTTGCATTTCTTTAGATTTCTTCATTTCTTGATTGTGAAGTTCTTCCATGTATCTTAATTCCTCCTAGTGTCCCATCAGATCTTCATGCAAAATATTTGCTTGATGCTCACGATAGGCATCTCCCATTTCACTTTTCAATTTGTCTTGCATATCTTTCATGTTTTTATTGATTTGTTTCCTTTGATGTTTTTCCATTTTATTCAAGGGCTTCCGTTGCTGAAAATATTCATACTCAAATGTGCCATACTAGGCAAAATGAGTAGGGGTTTCTGTCTCATTTTAATACACTGAATTCTTCTGTGCGAGTTCTTCAGGAAGACCATCTTCATCATCTAATTGTTTGGGTGGTTCCACAATGACTGGACAAGGAGTTGTCAGTAAGAAAAACACTCTCACTGCATCTTTCACATGCTATTCTTGCTGCTGGTTTAGAAGCAAATTCAACAATGCCTTTCCCTGCAGGTTTTCTGTGATCATCCACAATTACAACAGCCCTTTCAATAGGACCAAACTGGCAAAAGACTTCTTCCAACAGTTCATTGGAAACATAAGATTAAAATTCTGAATGGAAAGGGCAGCATGTATGGCAAAGTGAACTCAAAGCTGGGTTGAAAACTCTCATGGGTTTATCATAAAATTCAGCTTTGGCAATTTTAGCCAATGCTCTAGATTCAAGTTTAATAAGTCCAAATCCTTTTTTCTCCTGGTTCTCCCTATTTAGCCTTTTGAATTCATCCTCCATGATATCTGCAGATAGATTCCCAGCAAACAACCAACAATGCTGAGAGTAAGTTTTCTCTCCATCCCTCCTCAAGAGAGATAAGTTGGCTTTAAACTCCTCCAAGTGGGATATCTCCTTGCTGCAGCCACTAGGCCTACTGGATGGGGGATCCTGGTGGTGCTGCTGTTGTAGGATGAGTAGTGCTGCTAGCGTCTCCAGGGCTCTCTGCCACCTCAGTGGGCAGTACATAGGCCCATGTTACCACAGGGCTTAGGCCTGTCTGCACTTCACCACCTTTGAGGCAGCTTGTGGGTGGAGGCATTGGGTGCCCAGCCTGAGGGAATAGTGATGACCCTGCTGCTTGACAACATGGTTGGGGGCACCCAAGGGAGCACTGAGGTGACAGGTGGCAGGAGGGTGTGGGTGGGGCCCAGCCTTGTGGGGGCCCAAGAGATTGGGAAAGTGGTGAGTAGTGCTAAGCTGGAGGTTGGTGGAGCATTGCCTACTCTGAGAGCTGGGCCAGGTCCCTGAGGCACAGTGGGCTTGGACAAATCCTGTGGTGGCAGCAGAAGTTGCTGCGGTGGTAGTGGCCTCAGGGGTGGCTGCTGCTATTGCTATGGCGGGATTGGGGGCTTGGTGCCACCCTGGTCCAGGCTGGGCTCCAAAGATCTACAGTTCTGACTGAGGCCCAGGCAATGCAGCGGAGAGTGGAAGTTGTGGAGGCCACCATGGCCACCACTTCCTCTACAACAGTGGAAGCTGCAACTGGTACTGCTATAGTTCTGGAATTGATCACAAGAAATGTCTGTGATCAAGGGGCAATTGAGGGGGAAGCAGAGAAGATACTCAGGAAATGTGGAAGCCACCTTGCTTTGCACAAGATGGCAGATGACACAGGTCTCTTTTATAATTTTAAAGGTCTCCTCCATTTTTTTTGCTATATCCCCTTTCTCATTCCTAATGTTGTTCTTATTATCTGTTTTCTCTCTTTACTCTGAAGTCTATTTTACCAGATATTAATGTAGCCACTTCTGATTTTTTTTTCATAGACAAATATTTATTTTATTTTATTTTATTTTATTTTATTTTATTTTATTTTATTTTATTTTATTTTTTTTGAGATTTGGTTTTCCAATAGATTTTATTTTCTTTTTATTTTTTTTATTTATATATGAAATTTACTGTCAA